AGATGAAGAAGCTGAGACCCAGAGAGGTTCAGCAGTTTGCCCAGGATCATGCATTCCTTAGAATAGTTGGGAGTCTCTGTTGCTTTACAATGAGAACCCTGAGCGGTAGGATGCATTGTAGTCAGGGAAGATCCAAACCCACTCTTACCCTTGGAATTCCCAGTTGGGATGACAGGCAGAGCAGAGGGCTACCTGGTCAGTTGACATTGTGGGTGATCAGCTGTGGAGCTGCTATCCCTAAAAGGTATCCTGCTCAAAGACTGGTCTAATGGCTGTTGAGTCCTGAGCCTCCAGGGGTCCAGCCTTATGACAGGTACCTCCTGGAAACCTACATTCTGTTCTTGTCCTGTCCTGAGCTGGCTTTTGATAATAAAATGGTTCTCCCAGTCCCCATATGCTGATGAAGAGATTGAGGTCAGTTGAAGGCACATGATCTGCCAGCCATCTTTCAGGCCCAGGGCTCTGAGGCATGTCCCCCTTCCACTCTGGGGCCGGAGGCTCCCTGAACCCCTGAGCTTCTTTCAATCCACACTGCCCACATTGCCTTGTCACAGGGGCCCAAGTTTATCCCTGAATAAACCAGGAACCAAATCCACTTATGGTTCCTGAGGTCTGCCATAGCTACGTGTCAGCAACTGAATATGCCAGGTACAGATCCCCAGAATCAGGAGGCTGAGATGCTGACCCTACCTGTGGTCAGGTGTGTGGTGCTCAGGGGCAGAGAATCCCCCACAGAGAAATATGGCCAGATTTCCTTCTCATTTTTCAGGGAAAGGGAAATGCCAGGGGTGGGACCTGTCCTGACCACTCCTCTGTTATGTCCCAGGGCTGTGACCAAGGGTCAATTCTAGAATCTTGGCTGCCCTGAGGCCCTGGTCGCACTTCCTTTGGCTAGGCCAGTGTGGGGTGGGTCAGCCCCCAGGACCGGAAAGAGTAGCAGGCCTCACTGTCCTCAACTTCCCTGCTGCCCCAAAGATACTGCCCTGTGTTTGGGCATCCCTGTTTTTACTCCTGTCCCCAGCCCCACCAGCTTCAGGTATGGACAGTGCACAGCAGGAGCCAATCAAATGAAACGGGAGAGGTGAAGGTGGCAGGGAGAGAGGGCCTTTCCCACCTCCTCCCTCCCTTCTCCTCATTGGCTGCCAGAATACTGAGATTCTGAGTAATATTCTGGAAGATTCAAGGAGCTTGGGATTTCCTGTGCGCACAATTCCTAGATTCGAAATTCCCAAGTCTAGGTTCCAAGTACCTGCACAGCTTGAAGTTGGGCTGTGTCAACCCTGAGTTGAGGCTGTGCCCTGTGCCCCACTGTAGCCGGGATGGTTCCAGACGAGTAAAGCCTAGACCATTTCACAGAGCCGAGGGTGGGTCACATCTGCTGGCCTCCAGGCTGTGGGTACTCAGTACCCCCAGCAGCACTCACACTCTGCTGCCTCCCTGCTGGAGTTGGTCCCAGGGACCCACCTGTCACAGAAAGGCCAGTTGTCTTGGTGGTGGGAAGAGACAGGCTGAGCCCCATTGCATTCACCAGGAGTGGTGGGTCTGTTTCCCCCTGGAAGCCCAGAGAGAGCAGGGGCTGGCTGGTCAGAGCAAGGTCAGAGTCACCTTCTGGGTATAAGAGCCAGCACAAGGTATGGTTCAGCAGATGCAGGTCAATTCTTTTGTTGTTGTTGTTTTTTTTTTTGAGTCAGGGTCTTGCTATGTAATTCAGGTTGGCCTTGAGCCTGTGGTAATCCTGCTGCCTCAGCCTCCCTAGTGCTGGGATCACACCACTTTTGAGACAGGGCCTTGCTGTGTACTCTTATGTAGTCCGGGCTGGCCTCACAGCAATCCTCCTGCTTCAGCCTCCAGAGTGCTGGGATCACAGGCGTGCGCCACCACACCTGGCCCCCAGGTCAATTCTTGAAGGATCAGAGCCAGCTTTGGGGACCTCTGTGGAGAGGGCTGGTGGGCAGAGACCTGAGTCAGGGAGCATGAGGATGAGACACTGTCTTGCCTTGGGGTACAGAAGCTTGGGCTTTGGCTGCCTACTCTGCCTACCCATAGGGACCTGCGGGCAAAGTGGCTGTGCTCAGAGGGCCCCCGAAACAGTCCCTCGGGGAAGGAGACCTATTCCCTGCAGGGCACAGCCCTCTTCCTGCCAGTTGCTGGGCTGAGTTAATGCCTTGCTTGACTGCTTCCAGCCCCTTCCTGTGCTACCTCCTTCTGTGGGAACTCTGAGTGTGTGTTCAGCATTTGATGTCTCAGTGGTTGGGGGCGGGGGCGGGCTCTACACCCCTTGACGTGTGGGCTGCTGAGGCTTTTACCTGGTCTAGTCTTGGTCTTAGTTTCTACTGGGGACCTTCAGCGAGCTGCTGTGTGGCTTTGCAGTAAGATACAGTCATTTATTCCCAAAAGGACCTGGGAGGGGGAAGGGACCCCCGCGAGGGGCAGGGCTGGGAACTGATGCTTTTCCTGATGGCTACAGGACAAGTGTGGGGTGGGTCTCCTTTTGGTGAGTGGAGTGCCAGTGTTGGCTAGGGTCTGCCCCCCAACCCGACTGAACGGTTTTTCCTTCTGCCAGCTGGATGTGTTAAGCCCAGGGACTCTGAAGATACAGGGAGTGTCTAGTGGTTCTGTGCCAGAGTTATGAACCAGGACACTTACCTGCCTCTACTTTCTGTGGCCTGAAAACCTATTTTTCTCAAGGCAGAACTGGGCTGGCCCACTTGGAGGAGGCAGGGTTTGCGCCAGTATCTCTGAAATCATCTGAGGCAATCTGCTCCCCCCTTTCTTCCACGAGCAGACTACCGGAAGGGACTGTGTTTAGCTGGGGGGCCAAGGCCTGGGTCCTCCTCCTGACTTACTCTGTGGCCTGGTTAGCTCTTGCCTGCCTGGGACTCACTTTCCCTTGTGGAAATGGGGAGGGTTGAACAAAGAGCTCCTCATGCCTGAGAAGCAGATGATTAGGGTTGCAGAGAATTCAGAGATAGGGCCGGGCGGCATGAGGGTAGAGCTGGAGCTGGTGGGCACCTGTGGAGTGAGAGGTGCCTGGTGCTGGGAGGCTGGAGACCAGATTCTAGCCATCCTTGGGCCTGACTGGCAGTATGACCTGAGCTCCCAGCTGTCGACATGCAAAATGGGCAGTGTCTCTTCAGCCTAGAGCTGTTCACTGTGTGCCACCTAGGAGACCCAGAGGAATCAGACCTTTGTCCTGCCAGGATTGGGGTGAGAAAGAATGACACAGTCACGGAGGCTTCTGGTAGGATCGGCTGTGACTGTGGGTTAGACTGCTTTCTGGAGCAGTGAGGCGGGGTCGGGGAGTGGCTGAGGCAGAGGGAACTGTGTACACAGAGGCCCAGCAGGCAAGTGCTGCTTTTGGGGAGCTGGAGTGGAGGAAATGAAGGAGAGCCAGCCCTCCCGCATGGGGGCAACAGAGAGCCATGGGCGCGTAAGGGAGAGGCATGGCATCAACTGCCTCGAGGGTGGCAGTTGGCCTCAGAGACTTCTGGAAGCCTGGGTGGTTCTACCCCATTCTGGGGACGGTTGAGCTGTGGGTGGGCAGCATGAGGGGTTTGAGTGTCATCACTTCCCCTGTGTGCAGGGCCTCCTCAACAGTGTTTATCAGGACAGCCCAGCAGGAAGTGGCTGGGGCAGCCGCAGAGGTCAAAAGAAGAGGTAGGTCTGACCACGGAGGTTCCAAGGAGCCCTTGGAGTGTCAGAGTCAAACCTTCAACTCTGAGACCTCTGGTCTGAACCTTGACCCTCAGCTTGTTCGGGTCTCTCTCTCCCCACCCGTCTCTTCAGGGTGAGCTGGGGTCAGATGCAGATGGAAGACCTCCCAGCCCAGCCCCCTGCAGACCCTGCCCTTGCCCATCCCTTCCTGCCCCAGCAGGTGCCCAGCCCCTGCCACTGCCCGCAGTGGTTTGGGAGGCTTCCTGGGGAAGGATTTGAGGTGGAGTAGGAGGGGGTCTTTAGGATGGTAAGCAGCAAAGTCCAAGAATACTGACCTGTCACATTGTGAGTACCTGCTACAAAGCAGGCTTCTGTGGATTTCCATTTGTACATTTCACACACATTTATTGAGCATTTTTCTGAACACCATTCTGGCCACTGGAGAAACAACAGTGACTCACGCAAGGTCTGTGCCTCCCAGGTGAGAATGATGTTAACAAGTCAGTGTATAAAATTGTGTCTGGCAGGGATAAGCAGGAGGCTGAAGAATGAAACAGTAAGGAGAGAGGGACTGAGGAGAGGCTTTTGTAAATCGGTAGCCAGGGAAGGAAAGTCTTGCGTTTGAGAAGGTGCCCAGAAAAGGATTTGAAGGTATCATGCAGGTGTCTGCACACAACATTTCAGGCAGAGGGAGCCCACAGAGTGTGTCACATTAGAGTAGCATTAATGGAGGCAGGGGGGGACATGATTGTGCAGGCTGATCAGGCTGTGTGCTGGCCTGGGCCTTCACTCTGAGGAATTATGGCTAGAATCCAGTCTCCTAGCACTGGGCACCTCCCATTCCACTGGTGCTCACTAGTTCCTAGGGAATGAGAGCTCATCAGGTTTGGG